CAGGGCCCCTATGGCCCCAGGAGGCCCTCGGACGGCTCCAGGAGGCCCGAGCTGAGACAGAAAGCGGCTGCGGGGCTTGTTCCAGGAGCTGGAGGTCCAGGATTCCTCATCCAACTCCCCTTCCTCCTTCTCCTCCTCCTCCTCCTCCTCCTCCTTCCCTCCTCCTCCTTCTCCTCACGGGGCTGCTTAATGATATGTGAACTGCCCACCCAGGACGATAGTCAACGCCGATGTGCTTTCGTAAGCAACCAGCACCTCTTTCTCCCACCCCCTACACTCCACATCCTTCTTCTTCTCATCCGCCGCCGCCTCTTCCGCCTCCTCCTCCTCCTCAACAACCTCGCCCATCTCTTCTAAATTTCTCCACCTTCTCCTCCTCCTCATCACACAAGATACACTATTTCCCTTCTTGAACGTGGGGGGGCAAACGTCGTGGGGGGTGCCACGCCGGCGAAACTTATCCCAGGGCCTAATGTTCACGCCGGCGACAAATACGTCGCCCAAACGCTGGCGAAAATTATGCATCATCTAAGAGTCGCCAATGATAATGGTGAGTATAATGAATATGAGAATGATGATGGTGATGACGATGTTGATGGTGAAGACGATCACACGATAATGATGATGGTGAACAGAAAACGTTTCTGCCAGATGCGGTGCATGGACCAGTTCGTAAAGATGACGATAACGCGGTTGCTGCACACTTGACGAACATCTGCATGATGCACATCCCAATAACCATCAATGTTGCAAACGATATGTATTCGTGGGCGCCGGCAAAATGAAGCCGCCATCTCGCGAGGGCGGGCGGTACATATTCTTCGGGGCCCAAAGCCGGCGAACAATATATTGGTGCCTAACCGTGCGCGCTGTGAAAATTACACCACCCGCGTTGAATAAAGGAAATAGAGTGGGGGGGATGACAACAAGGGGGAACGCTCCCAGACCTCAGCCGTGCTTGAACCCGCGCGCGCCCCGAGCCCCCTCGACCAATTTCCAGGGACGGGCATTTCGCCACGGCCATCCTTTGACGACCATGGTGCCTGAGAACGCCACCCCGCCCACCCCGAAGCCCCCGAAAAGGGAAAGCACGTCCATCGTCGTGCTGGTCCCCCAGGTCGCTCAGAAGATCCGAGAAGCCTCCCGCACTCATTGGAGGCAGCTCAGGCGCGGTCGGAGCAGACGGGGTGAGAGGACACCGCGGCATCGGCGATGCATCAGTGATGCCAGGAGGAGGAGGAGGAGGAGGAGGAGGAGGAGGAGGAGGGAAGAGGAGGAGGAGGAGGCGGAGGAGGAGGAGGAGGAGGGAGGAGGAGGAGGAGGAGGAGAGGAGGAGGAGGAGGAGGAGGAGGGGGAGGAGGATGGAGAAGAAGAAGGGGCCCCCGATCGCGCCGCATCGCCGATGCGTAGGCGCTCCTGCGCGATCGTCCGGCTCCATTCACTCCGGCCTGGGCGGCCCAGAAGTATGCCCAGGCATCCGACGGTACTCCAGATTTCGTAATAAAAGGGAGGGGGTCTCATTTCGGGGGGGGTCTCTTCCAGGCTATCTTGGAGGGCCTGGGGGGGTCTGGGGACGATGTTTTGGAGGGTTCTCCCACGGGGGGGGGTCTGAAATGGCTTATCTTGGAGGGTCCAGACCCCCTCCCTTTTATTACGAAATCTGGAGTATGCGCTCCTGCGCGATCATCCGGCTCCATCCACTACAGCCTGGGCGGCCTAGCAGTATGCCCAGGCATCCGACGGTATCCGCCCCCGTCCCCTCGCGACGTGGGCGTGCCAGAGTGCCAGGTGCTGCTCCGTGAGGTCTGTGCACTCTGGGAAGGGCCACCCCCGTCTGCTGCCAGGCAGCTGCATGCACACCCCCTGCTCCCGAGGCCTCGATCCCTGGATGTCTTTGCTTTTTGTGCATAATAAGCAATCCGAATAGATGCATTGATGAAAAAACCATGCAGAGCAAACAGTCCATGATACAAATAAACATAAGAGAAACAATACTACTAAGAATCATGCTACCAATACCACTAATTATACGATGCTGCCTGTTCTAAAAAGACGGAGTAGGACCGCGCTCCCGAGGCCACGCTCTATGTGTACATCTATGTACACACGTATCTAACAAAACAAGGAAAAAACACAAACACGCGTGCTCGCGACCCGAGCTCTCGAGACGGCTCGGGCGGGCAGCCAGGCAGCGCACCCACGATGGCCCATGGGCATCGACGACGGGCCAAGGCGGCCCCCGAGGCGGCCGAATCATGCCCCGAGGCGGCCCCAAGGTGCCTCCGAGGGGGCCAAAGAGGGTCCCAAGAGGACCTCCAGCAAGGCCCGGCGAATCCGAAATCCATACGATCGCCTGTTGGGGGCCCCCGCCAGCCCCACGATGGCCCTGAGGCGGCAAAAGAGGCCTCGACGAGGGTCCAAAGACGGTCCAAGAGGGCCCATCGAGGGCCCAAGAGGCATACAAAATGGTCCCAAAGCGGCCCAAGAGGGCCTCCCGTGGGACCCAAGACTGCCTTAGGAGGCCTTTCGACTGCCCATAACGGCGCCAAGACGGCCCCACGACAACCCCTAGGCACCCACAATACTGCCAGGAGGGCCCCAAAACGGCCCAACAGAGCCACAAAACAACCTAGGAGGGCCCCAAGACGGCCCAAGAGGGCCCCAAGGGACCCCCAAGACTGGCCCGCAAGAGGCCAAGGCAACCACAGGATGGCCCGAACGAGAACTCATCAAATAGTGAAGGCGCAAAATGTCCGGTGTGAGAGCCCTCCTCTGCCTTCTCGTCCAGCTCCTCCTCTTCCAACTCCTCCTGTTCCTCCTCCTCCTCGGCCTGCTTCTCCTCCTCTTCCTCCTCCTCTTCCTCCTCCTCCTCCTTTTCGTCCTCCACCTTCTGATGATCCTCCTCCGCCTCTCCCTCCACCTGCTCATGCTCCTCCTCTTCCACCTCGTCAGCCTTCTCCGCCTCCTCCTCATCATCATCAGCATCAGCATCAGCATCAGCATCAGCATCAGCATCATCAGCATCATCATCATCATCATCATCATCATCATCATCAGCATCATCATCATCATCATCATCATCATCATCATCATCATCATCATCATCATCATCATCATCATCATCATCATCATTATCAGCATCATCATCATCGTCGTCGTCGCCATCACCATCATCATCATCAGCAGCATCATCAGCATCATCATCATCATCATCATCGTCATCATCAGCATCATCATCATTAGCATCATCGTCGTCATCATCATGGTTATCATCATCATGATCATCATCATCGCCATCATCATAATAATCCCCATCACCACCATCATCATCATCAACAGCATCAGCATCAGCATCATTCTCACCATCGTTATCATCATCATCAGCAGCAGCATCGTCATCGCCATCGTCATCATCATCATCATCAGCATCATCATCATCAGCATCAGCATCAACATCATCATTAACATTGTCAGAATGGTAATCATCGTTATCAGCATCGCCATCATCATCATCATCAGCGGCAGCATTATCATTACCATCACAATCACCATCATCATCATCATCACCGCCGTCGTCATCATCATCATCACAACCATCATCATCATCATCAGCATCATCAGCGTCATCATCAGCGTCAGCATCAACATCATCATCATCATCAGCATCGTCATCGTTATCGTCATCGTCATCATCAGCAGCAGCATCAGCCTCATAACCATGATAATCAGAATCAACATCCTCATCATCATCAGCATGGTCATCATCAGCATTATCATCACCATCATCACCATCATTGCCATCATCAGCGTCAGCAACAGCAACATCATCAGCAGCAGCCGCAACAGAACCATCGTCATCAGCATCATCATGACCATCACCATCAGCATCGTCATCGCCATCGTCATCATCGTCATCATCATCAGCATCATCATCAGCATCATCATACTCACCACGTTCAGCATCATTATCAGCAGTATCATCATCGCCATCAGCATCACCACCGCCACCATCACCACCACCAACACCGACATCATCATCATCATTATCAGCATCATCATAAGAATCACCACCAACCAGCAGCCTCAGCATCATCAGCAGCATCAGCATCATCATCAGCAGCAGCATCATCAGCATGATCATCATCCTCATCCTCATCACCGTCCTCCTCCTCCTCATCATCATCATCAACTTCACCCCAAATCTGGTGACACGACATGTCACACGCAACGGCCTCCCGATTCCCGTCGAGCGGACGACACCCAGAATGCTGGGCTGGCAAGGTGGCGGGACTTGCCGCAGGCAGCTGAATCCATCTACAGACATACCTTATACAGAAGCATCATAATCAGCATCGTCATCTTCATCACAATCCTCCTGCTCCTCCTCCTCCTCATCATCATCATCATCACCATCATCATCAACTTCACCTTCATCGCCACCACCATCATCATAATCGGGACTTGCCGCAGGCAGCTGAATAGATCTACAGACACACCCTACATAGAAGCACATCTGACTCACGCGCCAAGAAAAAACAGGACCAATCCGTAGGCCCTCGGATCCCGAAACCATGTCTGATCGACCCGGGCCCCGAAGCAGGCCCCCCCGAGGCCGACATTAGGGGGTGAGGAGCCCCGGGAGCGAAACACAAGACGAGCCTGCGCACCCAGACCTCCGCCGGTCTGGTCTCGTCATGCGCGGCCTCGGACGCTCCGACGGTCTCTCGTCATGCGCGGCCTCGTGGGCGGCTGTCGGTGCCGGGTCCATCTTTCACGGTCCCTGGCCCCCCGAGCAGGTCGCAGAGGCCAAAGCCGAGGCAAACCTCTCGCAGATTAAAAAACAAAATCTGGAACTTCTGTTCGGGGCCCCAGAACCATATGGTGACGGACTGCGTGTTGAGCCAGGTATCCCCGGCGACCTCATCGCGCGGTCCGCCACCGCACTGTTTTGGGTCCCCGGAGGCCCCAGTCGCCCGAGATGTCCTCGGAGAACGACCCCAGTACCAAAACCGTGCCGTGACCCTGAATGCCCACTGACACACCGCCCGTTGTGGTCTGTGTATCGTTTGCAGAGGCCTCGTAGCTGGGGTACGAGGATCTTGTGTCGAAGGATCGCGCCGCATCGCCGATGCAGTGCCCATACATCGCCAATGCATCTGCGAAGTCGGCTCGGCATCGGCACCGTCGGTCGGCGTCGAGAACATCGGGCTCCACATCGAGCCTCATCGGCGATGCGTCGGCGATGCGGCGCGCTCCTCCGACCCAGTGCGCTCGGACCTCCTCTGGGAGGCCTCGCCGAGGCTCGTGGGCCCCCGATGGGGACAACGCAAAAGGGGGGGGGGGGGCTGGCTCAGGGTGGGGGAACGTCGACCTGAAAAATTGGGGGGCTGGCTCAAAGGGGGGGGGGGAACGTCGACCTGAAAAATTGGCGATGCGCCCCCGCTGGCGAACCCACACGGTCCTGGGCGGCAGGCCAGCGGGCCAAGCCGCGGGCGACAGGGGGCCGAGGCGTCCCCACCCTGAGCGTGCCCCCCGACTAGTGACCGGCCATAACGGGGGGAGCTGTGGTCCTTACCCCCCTGGGGGAACCCATCGCATCGACGATCTCTCGGAGAGGGGTGTCGAAATGATTTCGACACCCCAATCAATATGTCAAAAAATGCAAAACAAATTTGTCGAGGCCCTGGTTTTGTTTCCTGGTGGGGGAGGGATCCGAGAAATCGGTGGGCCCCCCAGAGGGGCAAGGGCCACAGCTCCCCCAATTGTGGCTGGCCTGCTCTCTATAGTGACCATCGGTGCTCTTTCCCGGGCAAGGGTCGTTGCCCGGAGGGGGAGCGGGGGGGTCGGGGCAGCGGCGGCCGCGGCGCGCACCCGCCAGGGTGCGTCCGCGCCACCGACGCATCAACCGCCTCCTGTGCGCACCACACCACGGAAGGTGGGGGTGGGGTCCAGGCCAACCCCCCCCAGTACGATCGTTCGCATGACCCAGGGGGGTGGGTGGGGGGGGCTTCAGCCCGGGCAACGAGCGTTCCCCTGCGGAGGAACAAGACAAACGCTCATCCAACCCAGACCCCGACGTCATGTTTTTTTTCATTACGTCGACCCCCCGGGGTCTGAACCTCTTCCCCAGGGCCGGATTTCCATCACGAGCCTTTTCGTTGACGGCCCCGAGGCCCGGCATGAGAGCCCCGAGGGAGCGAAAATAGCGAGAGAAACCTCCCGTGATGATGTTTGTCACTCCTCGAGGGGGCCTGGGAAGGCGGCCCCTGGCCACGCCGAGGGGGCGAAAAGAGCGAAAAACCTCCCGTGATGATGTTTGTCACTCCTCGAGGGGGCCTGGGAAGGCGGCCCCTGACCCGCGCCGAGGGTGCGAAAAGAGCGAAAAACCTCCCGTGCTGATGTTTGTCACTGCTCGAGGGGGGCCTGGGAAGGCTGCCCCTGGCCCACGCCGAGGGGGCGAAAAGAGCGAAAAACCTCCCGTGCTGACGTTTGTCACCACTCGAGGGGGGCCTGGGAAGGCTGCCCCCGACCCACGCCGGGGCCACGACCTGCCCCTCCGCCCCCCGGGGAGGGCCCCGCCTCTCGAAGTGGAGCCCGGCGCGCGACCGCAGCTGCCTGGCCACGTCCTCCTGCGCGGCAGGGGGCCGCCGCCTCGGCGAGAGGACCCCTCCCACTGGCCCTGGCCATCGCTCGGACGTCCAATCTCTGTGTTTTTGTTTCGGTTTCGTGTGTGTGTGTGTGTGTGTGTGTGTGTGTGTGTGTGTGTGTGTGTGTGTGTGTGTGTGTGTGTGTGTGTGTGTGTGTGTGTGTGTGTGTGTGTGTGTGTGTGTGTGTGTGTGTGTGTGTGTGTGTGTGTGTGTGTGTGTGTGTGTGTGTGTGTGTGTGTGTGTGTGTGTGTGTGTGTGTGTGTGTGTGTGTGTGTGTGTGTGTGTGTGTGTGTGTGTGTGTGTGTGTGTGTGTGTGTGTGTGTGTGTGTGTGTGTGTGTGTGTGTGTGTGTGTGTGTGTGTGTGTGTGTGTGTGTGTGTGTGTGTGTGTGTGTGTGTGTGTGTGTGTGTGTGTGTGTGTGTGTGTGTGTGTGTGTGTGTGTGTGTGTGTGTGTGTGTGTGTGTGTGTGTGTGTGTGTGTTTTTTGCCCAATGATCAGGGATGCTCCTCGAGGGTCCTCGACGAGAGAAAAATGCACACGTCCGAGCGATGCCAAGGGCCGCCCCGCGGCCGTCTTGGGGCCCCCCCTTCGGCGGCCCTGGGGCCGCCTTCGAGCTGCGGTGGGCCTCCCGGAGGCCGTCGTGGAGGCACGCGAGGGCGTCTGCGGGGAGCGCCCCGGGCCGTCCTCGGGGCCTCGTGGGCGCGCCTAGGGGCTGACTTGGGCCGTCTTGCGCCGACAATGGCCAAGCATTGGGGCCATGAGATCTCTAGTCCTGCCTCCCCCCTCCCCCCCATAGCCCCCCCTGTTCTCCCCCCCGGCTGACGGATCGCGACGCTACGCGCGCTTTCCGTCATCCCCCCATCCTCCACCTCAAGTCCTCTTCCTCATAAATATAGGGAGCCCACAAAGGACGCACGCGCCCAGCTATGTACATGAACACGGCCCTTCGATCCGCGAGACCGGCCGCGTTATACGAACATGTGCGCAATGTGTACTCTCGAAACCAGCGTGGATTCATGTACGTGTACGTCCTTCTGTCGCTCCTGAAAATAACTCCTCCCCTGTCGCACCCCGAGTCCGGTCGGCGGGGCGGGCAGGGCGTTTCGCCTGCAACGTCGGAAGCGTGCGTGGCCCTGGAGGGTAACAATTGGCAGCGGCTTCGAGGATGGAGGGCGAGCCGCTGCCAAGAAGTTGCTCTCGCCTCTTTAAGCGCCGCGCGCAGGCGTCTTCAACAAGTGCAAGCGCTGCACAGATTGAGAGCGGGCCGTTTTCAGAATGTGCCTCTCGCCCTCATAGCACCGCGCACACTCGAGCTAAACAGTTGCACGAGCTTCATGGAGTGAGGGCGGTTCCTTATCAAAATGTGGGTCTCGCCTTAGCGTCGCGCGCATTCGTCTTGAGACATAAGAACTTGAAGGAGTTGCACGGGCTACCATTGTTTGCGCACATGAACTGTGTTTTGGAAGGAATGAAGACTACCAACGCGCAACAATCATGTTGTTTCGCTGTGTTGAGGTCCCAGGAATGTCGCCCTGGTACAATTCGGGATGGTCAAGTCGCAACAAGGGAGCTGATTCGTGGCGCTGAAATTCCGAAACTGATGTTTTGGTACGCTTCACAAGATGAGGTCTGAACCGAACTGGTAACCGTGAACCGGCGCCCCCTCCAACCGAACCGCCCAAACCAGAGCCCAAACCGGACTGGCTGAAACTGAACCAGCCGATTCGAACCGAACTGACGCCGCCCGACGAGGCCGCGCGAAACGGCCAAAAATAATTAGGTCCGAAAAAAACCCAAACTCCCGGACCCCCCCGGTCACGGATCCTCCGGGTCCCAGACCCCCCCCGGTCCCGGACCCCCCGTCCTGGACCCCCCCGATCCTGGACCCCCCCCGCGGTCACATGGTCCCGGAACCCCCCGGTCCCCGACCGCCCGCGGGTCCCGGACCCCCCCCTGAGATGTCCACAACGGGAGGAGGGAGGGGGGAGGAGGGAGGAGGGAGGGGCGGAGAGGGAGACTCAAGGCAGGGAGGCGGGGAAGACGCACGCGAGGGACCCTGCCAGGCCGCCCTGTGGGCCCCCAGCGGCGCGCCCGGGGGAAGGACCCCCCCCGCCCGACAGCTCCCGTCCCCTTGGCCGCCTGGCCCACTGCCGACGCCCCTGGCCCGGGGTGGGGGGGGAGGGCTTCCTTGCGAAGCGTGTGAAAGGTGTGCCCGATCGGGTGCGGGTACGTTTTGCGGACTGTGCCGCTGGGGCCTTCGGTGGAAGGCCCTAGGGGGACGTGAAACGTGTGATGGGTGTGCCAGATCGGGTGCGGGTGCGCCTTGCGGACTGTGCCGCTGGGGCCTTCGGTGGAGCTCCCTATGGGGCCACGAAACGTGTGAAGGGTGTACCGAATCGTGTGCTGGTACGCCATGCGGACTGTGACGCTGGGGCCTTCGGTGGAGCTCCCTACTCTGTGTCCCTCAATAGTTTTGGGGCCCCGGACTACAAGTACCCCCCGGACTACAAGTTGACCCCTCCCCCGGACTACAGGTGCCCCCACCCCGGACCACAGGTACCCCCCCCCGGACTACAGGCCCCCCCCCGGGACCACAAGTACCCCCCCCGGACTACAGGTACCCCCCCCCCGGACTACAGGTACCCACCTGGCCCCCGGAACTACAAGCCCCCCCGGGGGGCGTTCGCTACGTAGCCTCTGGAAGCCAAAGCGGCCAGCCAAGATGCGTCCGCACATTTTCACTTAATTAGGCGTGCTAAGAAATTCGCCATCGTTGGGCCAGCGGGAAGCCCTCCCCCCCCCAGCACTGGGCCCCGAGCAAAGGTCCATGGGGAGAGAGGGAGAATCAGCACACGCCCGTCGGGCGGGAAACGGGGAGGGAAGCACGAAGCAGGTCAGGCGGTGACAGTAGACTTCGGAGGCTTGGAAATGAGCACCAACACCAACACAAGGGGTTGCCTCCACAGCGGGAAGATGAGCCTAGATTTCGGAGTTGGTGGACCACCTCGGCAGCCAGAACAATTACCACCATCACCGAGATCGGGATCTTCTTCCCTCGGTGGAGGCACACCGCCGATCTTGGTGTTGGTGTCAACCTCTAGACCTGCGAAGACAGGGCTTCCACCCGCCCCCTGAGGAGGAAAGAAGAGGGCAAACTACTCGATCATTGAAGCAGGAAGGTCCCTCGAGCAGGTTGAGACCTGCGGATCCAGAAAAGCCTACTTTCAAGGACCGACGGGAAATCGTACAAATGGCGAGGAGAAGAAGAGACGTCCTGCGTGAACAGGCCCGCGTAGCGGGCTGGCTCTCCGCGCCGGATGTGCAGCGGCCTCCTCTCCCAGTACTCCGCGAAGAAGGCGTCCACCGGAACAGGTCGGGGGCCGAGACAGGTCCGCCGACGTGATGAGGCCCCGCGAGAAGGGCAGACCCAGGGCAAGGGAAACTGAGGGACTACTCCAAATCACTTCGTAATCGCCCCCCTAAAAAACCAGATCCCCCTCCAAATGCGATCCGGTATTTTCTGGACCCCCCTCTTCGACGGGGCGCCTGAACAAACCGGACCCCCTAAGCCCCAATCCAAAGAAAGCGCCCTAACAAACCGGACCCCCCGCCCCAGTTACAGAAGAGGCGCCTTAAAAAACCGGACCCGGGGGACGATTGATGAGGGATTTGGAGTACGCAACGTGCGCCGACGAGAACACCACCACTTCTCGGGGGCCCCCAATCGGAAGTCGGGCAAGGGCTGCTAGATCCGTGGCTGCTAAAATCGACCTCCAGGAAGTCGTCTTCGTCCTTCCGGGAAGAAGCCCGTTGACTGCTTCGCGTGCCGCGCCTCCTTCCGGGAAGTCGTGTTTTCCTTCCGGGAGGTCCGTTTTAGCAGCCACGGTTTTAGCAGCCCTCGCCCAGCTCTCGACCCAAAACGGTGCGGTGGCCCCAGCACTGCGAGGCCCCGGGGGTCCACGTCGGCCTGCCAGCCATCGGAGGGACTTCTGGCAGCCGCCCCTCGCCGAGGGCCCTCCGGGCCCATACTCGGTCCGAAGGCGAATGCGGCGGCCACGCCGTGGCCTCAGCTCAGGTCGGGCATGTCCTCCTTCAGGCGCGATCTGGAAGAAAAAACCAAAAATAGTCGGAAATAATCGAAAAAAGTCAGACATTGCCAAAAAAATTGTTCCCTGACTATTTTCTTTGTGCATGTTTGAACATTCCTCCTGCAGAGGGACATTCGGACATTCGGCCTGCAGTCGAGGTGCCGCGGGGGCACAGCAGGGGGGCGCCGGGGCGCCGCTATGGGTGACACACACGAAGAAAAGAAAGAGAGCGAGGCACAAGCACAAGAAAAGAAAGAGAACGAGAGGGAGAGAGACTCAATGCTGAGTCTCTCTCCCTGAGACAAAGCACAAGCGAACGAGAGAAGAAAGAGAGAGCGAGAGAGAGAGAGAGAGAGGCAATCTATAGAGGGACATGCCCGACGCAGTGCTGCGTCGGTGGCGACTCGGGGCGGCCGCACGGTTTTGAGCGTGAGAAAGCCTCGAGAAGAGTCAGGCAGTGTCCAAAACGCTGCTCCCACGCTATTTTGGACCACTTCTGTGAAAACTCCAAAATTCCTCCTGCAGAGGGACAGGCCCGACTCGGTGCTGAGTCGGTGGCGATTCGGGGCGGCCGCGCGGTCCTGCGAGGCGCAGGCCGCGGTCTTTTCTCCGGGGACGCCTCTCGGGCAGCGGAGGCCCCACCGGGGGCTCCAGAAGATGCCGCGCGGCGGCGCGCCGTGCCCCGCTGGGCTTCCGCCGGGCGTGCCCCCCTGCAGGGGGATTCTCGGCGACAACTGAAAACGACCCCAACCATAGTCCAAAGTGGTCAAGCAGTGCTCCAAAAATAAGCCCCGGACGATGTCTTGACTGTTTCTCAAGATTCCCCCTGTAGAGGGACAAGCCCCACTCAACGTTCGGCCAGAGGCAAGGGAGCCCAACCTCGAATCGACAACTCGGATCGGCGATCGGAGTCCCGAGCCGAATCGAATCGGAGTCGGAGTCCGTCGACATCGGATCGGATCGGATCGAGGGAGTCGAAGCGAACCCTGCAGAGGTAATACTCCGAAGTCACCGCGCGGTCTGCCACCGCACCGTTTTGGAACCCCGAGGCCTCTCCTTGTCATTGTCGGCGCTGGCTGCACGGAAATCCGTGGTGCTGGCATGGTGGCTGCCATTTTAGACGGTGGCGGTGGCGGAGACGGCAGTGGTGGCAGTGGGCTGATGTGCCCATCTTTGCGATTATGGTGGCATGCGATCTTTGGGGAAACAACGAAATACCCATACCGCTACTCCGCGGACCTCTCATGGTCAGCTTTCTGATCAGGATTTCGGGGCGAATCCGGCCGTGGTGACCAGGGCAGGGCATCGACACCGGTACCTCGTCCTCCTCCGATGTTCCTCCCTGGGCAGAGGGGAGCTGCCTCTGGCCTGGCAGCTCGGCAGAGCCTGCTCCGGCCCCCCTTCTGGGCGCAATCAGCCAGGCAAAAGCCTGGGGGGAGCAAAAAACCGGCCTCCCAAGGCGCGCCTGCGGGGGAGCCCCGTCGCCGCGTTGCTGGTTGGGTCGGGCCTGTCCTCCTGCAGGCGGATTTTCGACAACAAGTCATCCAAAAAGTCAAACAATTACGCCCACATGGGCAAAAATAGTCACAGCATCGTCTCTAGAGTAGTTTTGACTATTTGAATATTCCCCCTGCAGGCCCGACGTAACGTTACTGCCGAAGAGACACCGGGCACTCGGAGAACAACGAGGCAGTCATTACTGCCGGAGAGGCACCGGGCCTTCGGACAACAACGAGGGAGCAACATGCCGACGGGCTCCCGACGAC